TTTACTTTTTAATGGTTAGCAATCATTCCAACCATGTGAACATCTCATTGCTCTTAGTGGCTGACTATGAGTGTGGGGACCAGAAATCATCAGCTGGAGAAATCAGGATGCTAAAAGTTGTTGAGCATGAACATAAACACAGAGAATCAGGCCTAGTAATCCAGCAGAAAGGATTATATCTCTTTAAGGGCCAAGAAAATTTAGGGGAACAAAAACTCTTATTTGCCATGAAGCAAGAATAAAAGTGAAATAATAGTGACATCAGATCTTGGCAACAAGATACATGTAAGAGACAAACTGCATATAATAAAAAATTATACTTAAAATATATATTGGATATTACTATGTAGAATATAGAGTATATTATACACGGTCCATATGCTATATTCTATATTATACATGTAGAAAATACAGCATGTACATATACAGAGACATATATATTACTATATGTGGTATCATGTACAGTATTATGTGGTGTGTGTGTACATATGTGTGTGTGACTATATATGTATAGACAATAAATGAACTCAAATTTTACTTCCTTACATTTTACTCTTTCAATAGATGGTGAGCAGAAATTAGTCTCTTTTCTTTTCCTTTCCTATCTCATACTGAATGTGTTTAGTAGACTTAGTAAATTCCATTATCAAGAACTATACCTAAAAGGGAGAAACTGGCCAGGGAACATGATATTTTGCAATGATATTTAGTCCTTATAACGTGTATCTCCAATATTGTTCACAATGCACTTCATTAACATAGTTTACTTATCATATAGAGCTGGAAGAAAATAATGTTGTGATTATTTCCTTTTGAGGAGAAAAAACAGAAAAGTTATGGTTTCAAGGGTCAGTCTAGAGCAGTGCCATCCAAAATAACTTTCTGGAAGCAGAAAAATGGTCATCGGTTCCTTCTAGTACAGTAGCTATTAGCCACACGCCTACTCAGCACTTGAAATAAGGCTGAGTAGGGGCGCCTGGGTGGCTCAGTTTGTTAAGCATCTGCCTTTGGCTCAGGTCATAGTCTCAGGGTCCTGGGATCAAACCCCACGTCAGGCTCCCTGCTCAGCGGGGAGTCTGCTTCTCCTTCGGCTCCCCACCTCCACTCGTGCTCTCTCTCTTTCTCTCTCTCTCAAATGAATAAATAAAATCTTAAAAAAAAGAAAAAGAAAAAGAAAAAGAAAGAGAGAAAGAAAGAAAGAAGAAGAAAGAAAGAGAGAAAAAGAAGGCTGCCTTGACTGAGGAAATACATTTTTAACTTAACTAATCTAAATCTATAGGGTCAACTTCTGGCTACAGGCTACCATATTGGACAACATAAGATCTTAAGTCTCAAGCTAGACTCAATGTTGAAAACATAAAGCCCACATGGGCCACATTCCACTTGAAGACTTATTTTCTTTGGCCTACATTACAGTGAAGAAGAAAGGCGGAGTCAACACTAGAAGGAGCGATTCTGAAGAGAAAATATCTGAATTTTAAAAGCTTTTGTTACACAGGCTGGGATTCCTGGATGGTAACCGGTGGCCAGTGATGAGAAGCAGTCATGACCATTCAATAGGCTTGTGGCTGTTTCCAGTCATTATTCAAAGTGTCTATATGTTCTTAAGGCACACCCACCTCTTTTAGCTCTGTTACTTGCCTGGTCCCCAGAGGCATTTGCATATTTTACCCCAGTCTAGCTCCAACATGTGGTTCCTTTAAAGGCTGACTGACATTAGTAGAAGTGACCAGGGATCTTCCTATTTGGGGTCTTTCAACTGAGCAAATGGAGAGCAGTTGTAACCCCATGAGAAGTTGGAGAAAGCCCCTCCCATTTAAAAAAGTTATTAAGACTCCCTCAAGGTAATCTCTTTCAGCATCATCGGCAATTACAATGAGAATGAATCCTAAATGACCTTTAAATTTAGGCTTTGGGGCTTAGGTGGGGAGATGCAAAAGAAAGAATAAAATTCTCAATTAAACCCTAACACAAGTAATTTCTCTTGAGAATTTCTCAACTTTTGGATTTCTAATATGGCCAATTAAGAGTTCTTTTTACCCAATGGGATAACCAAGAAAAGACCTCTCATCAGACAAATCTGTCTCAGTCTACAAGACAGGCTGTGGGCTTACGAAGGATATCCTTTTATAAGACTCTTAAGCTTTATTCTGAATCTTGGGAAACACGTTTGGATTGTCCTTAACTTGTAATTTCACATGAACCAGTGATTTTCCTCCATGGTATCTGTTTATCTATCTAACTGCTTATATTTATAGTTATAAAAAACCTAACGTTTCTCTGATTTCATGTATAAATGGAAATCCCCATTTTTATGTCTTCAGGGTTATTCCATACTTAAACCATTTATCTGTAGTTTTTAAAGGATAGTAAAAAATAAGAATAAGCAAGCATATTTTCTTCTGAAATATTTCTTCTGAAGGGGTTCTCAGAGAGGCCCCCTTCCCATCTCCCTATCCAGAGCACCCCTCACCCCCCTCCCCTGCCAAGGTGTCTTCTATGACTCTCCTCAAAGCCTCAGGCCATGTGGGGTTGTTCTGTTTATCATCTGTTAGTGCCTGCCACACCCCACAAATGCTGTAATCTGAAAAACACATACTATGGAACATTACATGACTATTAAAGTCAAAAGCTAGGAGAAAAAAAACAGGCTGTAACTAAAGGTATTGTCTAAATAGACAAGGTCATAATTATAACCTACATTGTTCTATACTCCCATTTACTCTACCATCATAACCTCTTATACAGATAACATGAATAGTGAAATTGGTTATAGGGAAGCCTAATATTTTCCCAACGTAAAGAGGGTCCCTTGTGCTTTTTCAAGGTCTCGACTTCTAGTGACTGAAAATCTTTAGTTTAAGTGGAATTTTATATTGGTTACAAGTTTTAACTTCAGAAAATCTTTAGAGCTATAATGAAAGTGTCTGCTTTACTTGGCTACAAACCAAAGTACTTTAAAACAATACCTAGCATGTTAAATTTCTGCACTTATCAGACATAAAACAGATGAATTAATTTAAGTCACATATCTCCTAGTATCAGGTACAGATTTTGTTTAAATTACAACATACAGCATCACAGGCCACATTATAAAACATAAGAAGCACTGTGTAAATGGTGGGACCTCTTCATCAACATTTTATACATGTCGTCTGTATGCTTAAAAACACACTCTCTGGCATTATAATAAATACCAGGTATATAAAGAAATGATTGCAACAAAAGACTATTTCTGGATTTCTGAGCTCAAGAACTCTTGCTATTTGATAAAATTTTACAAACATAATTAAACTCTTCATTTAGAAATACACTCCTGTCTGACAAAATCGTGTAACTAATGATAATTTTTTCAGCTGAATACATTTATCATCAAATTTTTCATAAGATAAATGCTAGGAATACAACTTTACTGACAACAGAGAAACAGCCCACAGATGAGTCATTCATATGGACTCTTTATCATATTACAGTCATATCTAAAAGGAGAATCTTCTGTTTCAGGGAGAAACAAATGGATGCATTTAGAAAATGTTAGAATGTCCTATGAAAATGCTGGGGGAAAAATGTTTCTAGGATAACATCTTATTAAAGTCGATCTGTTCATCTTTCCCCCAAAGAGGAAAATATTTTCAGATGTTACTTCTGCTTATGTCTGATTAATTGAACTATCCATAAAATACAGATTCTTTGTTGTTTTTTTTTTTTCAATTCTGGTATATTTTTCTTATTTCTATAGGGTGAGGAAGAGGCAGAGAGAAAACTTTTTATCACCTCTGTCAGTTCTGACCAGTAACCTGGAGTTATTGTTTATTTTGTTGCAAGTACACAGCAGGTGCTCAATAAGTGCATCTTGAATACTGTTGAAAAAGACTGACCTTGATTACTTCCAGATGCAAAAATACAAAGGTCTACCTTCTAATCCAAGGCTGACCCAATTTAACAAGGAATGTTGGCTTCTATTACTTACATGGATTAAGAAAACAATAGAAGTTCAATACGATCTACATGACTACTCTAAACTCTTAGAATTTTATTAATATAGGCTGAAGTATGCTTGTTCTGCAGGTTATAGAAAAGGTTTTGCCAAGAAACTAATATTGTAAACAGAGTTTTTGAGACAAATGCTCACAGTATTCAAAAGAGCATGTTGTTTTCAAGGTGCCTCAAGCACTTTTTTGTAGCCACTTATATGAAAGCAGCATATGCTCTTTATAAATAATTCATTTCTTTATTAAATTGGGTCACCTAAGCATACCTAACAGTAAAAATTGTTAATCTTGTGTTCTTTAAAAAAGTAAATACCCATCCCATCCAAATAAGCTACTATCGTCCCCCAAATGTTAGTATTTTTATCTTTAGGTGATGGGAATTCAGATTTTTTTTCTTTTTTCCTTATACCTTTCTGTGATGTTTGAAGGTTTTCAGTGAATAAGTATTATTCACATAATCTGAAAAACACATACTTTTACATGAAAAAACCTACTAAATTAAATACAATTTCTCTCCAAGAATAATTAAAATAACTTTAGTGTTATTTTAGTCTTCTATACTTAACGAATCTTCAAACACAAAGTCAGTTAAATGATAAAGAAAGAAGTACAAATGCTAAAAAGTATTTTTTTAAAACTATAATTTCCAAAAGCCTTTGGAACATCTGATTTTATCCCCATGATGAATATATATGTTTCCAATAACTACATGTGGGCACATGTTTATACATTAAATTGCATTATAAATGAGTGAATAGACATTGTTTATTTAAGAGATTCTACCAGGTCTCTTTTAAATCAAGAAATCTTCTTGTAAAGTGAATAATCAATCAAATATATACAGTGGATCTAAATGTTTACGTATGAGATCTGTTGAACATAGCATACAACTACAGTTTCACTTATTCTTTCTTAGTGATGCCATGAACATACTGAAACACACACAAAAAAAATCACAATTTCCACATTGTTATTTCTTAATTTAGATTTGCAAACTTGTCACTGTACCTGTAATGAGGTGAGGGGTTGCCTCTTGCTTCACAATTTAAAGTTATTTTTTTATCCTCTGAACCCACAGGGAAAATGCTGTTGCTGGGCTCTCTGATAAACACTGGACCTTGCAAGAGAAGCTCACCTGTATGGGTGGGAGACATCCAAAAAAACAATCACAATAAGTAAAAGGTACCGTAAAAGCTGCATTCTAGAATCAAAAAAGAAAAACAAGCAACAAACAAGTATCAGCTCTTAAAAAAAAAAAAAAAAAAGAAGAAGAAAAAGCAGCTATTGCTTCTTCCCTTGTCCACAGAACGTGCTCTGCAGGCACTGCTTTGCTGATGAGCACCAATGAAACTGTTGACAGCCGAGTAACGTATAAGACAATGAAAGTTAGTATTGAAAAACATTGCCATATTAATAAAATCCCTTAAAAGTATAAATAAGGCTGTACTAATTACTTTTTGTAATATAAACCCTACCTAACTTTTCACTGGTGAATATCCTATTGCAGAAGGCCTTTCTGTCATAAGGCTCTTCACAAAAGTAAAAGTTGTATTCAAGACTAGTTGAATACCTGAGCATGATCTTTCTCACAAAATCTGCCATGCATGCCAAACTGAAGGTTGACAATATTCTTTTTCTGTTTGAACCTCAAAACACTCAACGTTTGGTGGTACTTCCACTTTATTGCCAACCAAGTGAAGAAAAGGGTATAACCCTAAGGAAGTATCTTTTAAAAAGGTTTTCTACTTTAGTGAAGAAAACTCGAATATTTTCTGAGAATTTCCACATATACCCAAAAACAAAAATCCGTCTTTGTGCTATGAATTTAAAAAGGAACAAGATAATGCCATCAACAAATGCTTATGTCTACTTTAGTTGTACAATCATTGCCAGAGCATTTCTGAAAACAAACAAATTCACAGGGGAAAAAAAAAAGAAACTCTTTACTCTCCTATCTTGGAACGCTCAGTAAAATGGGAGGAACTCCTGCTGAAGCAAAGAATGAATAAACAGACTAAGAGACAAAGAGAGCCCACAAGTAGTCAGACAAAGAAAACAGATTAGAAAAGCACCCAAAAAAGTCCAGAAACTATGAACTTATATTTTGGCTACTTCAAGTAGTAATAACGTTCCTAAGAAACATTTACCATAATAACAAGAATAGTAAAATAACATGATACTGAAAATAATCATTGACACGATGAAAATACCAGTAGCTGGTGCCAGGACACAAATCCTACATGGCCATATCTGTTCTTTCAACTTCAGAGAGATCATTATTCCCAGTGAACAGAAGAGAAGCATGGGGCCTAAAAGTGGCTAGGTGACAGGGACAAGTTCACACAGCATTTCAGATGGTACACGCTCTAGAACATCTGAGTCCAGATTCCAGGCAGTGACACCCTCTTGTTATACTCCATGAATGCAGTCTTGCCTTTCATCTGCTCTTTGCCCTCAGCTTCCGGCAGGTAACCGATGTCATTCATGATGGGAATGTCTTTGTTTAGGGTGGGGCCTGGCCACACTGGACCTGAGGGTGGGACCAGCCACACCTGAGAGTGTGGGATGGGGACCGGCCAACTTGTGACTGATGGTAGGAGAGTTGAGTCATGGGGTATGAGCTGACTCGGACAACCGAGCTCAACTACATGTGCCATCATCAGTCACTAATTATGTAATGAAGCCCCAGTAAAAACTCTGGACACTGAGGCTTGGTGAGTTTCCCCGGCTGGCAATGGTCCTTGCCCATTAACACACATCAGTGCCAGGAGCTTTATACATCCTGAGGACAACAAAAGCTTAGCATTTGGCACCCGTCCAGATACTATACTCTGGGTTTCTTCCTTTGGCTGATTTTAGCATGTATCCTTTCCCTATAATAAACCATAATCATGATTATATTAGCTTTCAGTGACTCCTGTCAGTCCTTCTAGCAAATTATCAAAGCCAGAACTTGCAGTTGGTGTTAGAAATGAGGGTAGTCTATGGAACGTACACTCAAACCTCAAAGTCTAGCTAAATCTGGATATCCTTTCCACACCACAAAGTTAATCCTTACTAATAGCAACCATACCTTAAGAAAGCAGCCTGCTATCCTCTTTAGTCCCTGGTTTTTATTTACCTCTGAAGGGGAAATACCACAAGGAAAAAGTTCTCACTTTTCTTTGTGAAAAAGGAGGACTTTCAGAAGAAATGGATTTTGAAATAGCTACTAAAACTCCTAATCAAAAAGATCCAGTGTTGTCATTTTCCTGATTTTTTCCCCCTAAGTAAGTTTACTGTATTAAAACTAAACAAATAAATACAAAAATGACAATTGGCTTCATTAATCAAATTTACTGTCTTAGAAAGTTGAAAATAACTCTAATGCCTGTTTGTAAATATTTACAAACATGGTGGATTTTTCATAGCATTTTTTTTTTTTTTTCTGGTGCAATGCTCTTGATTTACTCTGAGTGGCTCATCTACTTTGTTCACTTATGAGATGGCATAGCATCATTGTTCTGACAAACTCTGACGTATGCAGAGCTTGAAAACAATACTATAGTAACATAATGGTGTAGATTTGAAAATTCCAGATAAGTTGGGGAGAGAAACTGACAAAAGGAAAATTAGGTCAAGAAAAGAAGGGGGTGATTTCAATGAAAAAGACAAAAAGAGGTGCTTTTTAAAAATTTCCTACAAGTGACCAAAATGAAAATCCAAATGTCCATTCCACCATCTTCTAACGCAAGTCAAATGATACTCTAATTCTTCTCTAGGAACCATTATTAATTTTAAATGAAGGTGTTAAATAACTAGATGCCTTTTTTTTTTTTTAAGATTTTATTTATTTATTTGACAGAGAGAGAGAGACAGCGAGAGAGGAAACACAAGCAGGGGGAGTGGGAGAGGGAGAAGCAGGCCTCCCGCTGAGCAAGGAGCCAGATGTGGGGCTTGATCCCAGGACCCCGGGATCATGACCTGAGCTGAAGGCAGACACTTAACCATCTGAGCCACCCAGGCGCCCCAACTAGATGCCTTTTAATTCTGACACCCTTTTGAGAGAGTGACAATCGTAGCTAATTTGCTAACATTTACGTGCCAGGAAATTACAAGTCTTGCCTCCCTTATTCCCAGGCTATGTTTGGCCCCCATCCTCTACCCTGTGAGGTCCAGCGCCATCCTTGTCTATGCCCAGGAGTCCATGCTGACTGTTGTTACATTTGGGCTCAGCCCCCACCATCCCTGTTATTCTTGCGCTCTGATTTCTGTTGTTCAGAACTCAGCATAAATGTCATCCTCTCAGCTTAAATGTCCCTCCACCCGCCCCTCACTTCCACCTTTCACAAAGGTACCAAAGCACATCTCACTGTATCTCAATACATATAAACATCATACATGTTCACACATGTGCTTGTTATTTGTGTCTAATTCATGGCTGTAATCCCAACTCCTAGAACATGCAGATATTCTATGTTTATCTGTCGAATAAATAAGATGAATGAAGGAATTCTCACAATAACTCTGTATAAGGCCAATACTTTTTTACAGCTAGTGATTGATAAAGCTAAGATTTTAATTTCAGAGCTGATGTTCTCACCTTATAGTCATTTGGCCTCCCCAGCAGAAATGAGGCACAGAGCATTTAAAAAACCCAACCGTGGTAACATAGGTTTTTTTGGGTTTTTTTGTTTTGTTTTTGGTGACAGACATGGGATCATACCCTCATACTCCTATTTTTGGTGCATTTCCCTTTCCAGTAAACCACACAGTTCTAAATATGGGCAAACGCAAAAATTAACCATCAGCTTCCTATTTCAACTTCAGTATTTCCGGATAACACTGGAGTTTCCAGCCTGTGAGGCACACACCCACCAATTCTGAAGCTTAAAGCTCCTAAAGGCTTTTTAGACCATCAGCAGCATTCAAAAGCCTCCTAAAATGGAAGTACAAATTAATAATCAAACATGACAGGTCAGTCCATGCTTCATACTCTGAAAACAGATAAAGGCCACTCAGTCTTGCTTCACCAGAATGAAATAAGAGATGCTGGGGTATAATGTCGTAGTCTCTTGCTAGCAACATAAACTTAAAAGGCAGAGATTCTGAAGTCTCATTTTCTTCTAAATGAATTCTGATCCTCAAAAGGACAGAACCTTGACGATTCACATGGATATTCATAACCAGCAAAAAGCAGCTTGGCTGAGAACAGAAGGGGGCCTCCTGGCTAACGAAATGGATTCAATGTAACATTTAGATTGATGCTCAACTTTACTTTTTGTGACAGGGGCATTTTTTTGATATGCTAGCCTGGCTCCAAAGCTCCATTTTACATTTATAGCCTAAAATAAAGGGCATATAACATTTCCAAATAGGACTAATAAGTCCAAAAGTCCAATCCTGAGGTGTTATTTTTTCCCCCAAAAAGCCATGGGCTACTCAGAATAACTACCTTTGAATGTAAGTACAAGCTTTATGAGCTCCTAAGGTAATGTCACCTAAAAGATCAAACTGTGGCCAATCAGTTCTAATAGTCATACTCTATACAGTTTTTATGAAGTCTGACAAAGAGAAACAGATAAAGCATTCCAGGCAGTTGGATTACTTTGACTAAAAGAAATAAAATTCCTAAAAGACGACAATGGTATCTCTGAAATTGCTATGGAAAAAGGAAAGCACATCCTATTTTCCCTCACTTATTTACATCACATCTACATGATGCAAAACTGAAGGATATTTTGAAATGAAGAGGGTAAATCCAAAAAGGGAGTTAGGGTGGGCACTGCTATTTAAAGCAGAATTTAAGAGACTGTAGAGCTAGAAAGGAATAGTCACTGTACTTATAAGGTATCCAAACCAAACAGAATGAGCTCTAGCCTGGGGTCAGAGAAAATAAAAGCAATATGTCACCAATGAAATGAGACCTGTATTCTAGGCCCTACTATTCTACAAAAAAAAAAAAAAAAAAAATTAAAGATGGAAACATTTTATAGCAGTGGGGCATCATCTCTTTTTTTTCTTTTTGGCATTGGTGGCTTAAAGCTAGAAAATGCCAAACAAACAAGAAATGACAAAAATAAAATTCCATTTATATTATCCCAAAGTCTCATTTCTTTAACAAATATTTGAATGCCAAACACACTCAGCA